TGTGAGGATATTTGTAACCAATTTGCTCGCTTTTTTTTCAAAACATATACAGGGTGTTCGGTTCCTTAGTACAAATAATTTAAGGGGTGATAGAAGATCATATTTGGTACGCATATGATCAAATCTGAAAGATTACTGAGTTATTGAACTTTTTCTGTTTTGGTCTATGCTTGCCATAAGTTGGCTCTAACTCGAAGCCATTTAGTACAAAACTCTTGCCTCTATTGGAAAGCTTGGTAAATTGCCTACTTAATAGTGTCATTTCCATTTTAAGTAAGCTGCATTTAGACAAATTTTAGGGATAAACGCATCAAAAACTTGTGTTTTCCTACGGCTTTTCCCTTATTATTTAAAAAAATACGTAATAAAGTGTATTGTTTTGTCTAATCAAAAGTTGCCTGTTTTGCCTAACCAAAAGAGCAAATGGCTTCTGTGTTCTTGGATATCAAGGGGGCTTTTGATTCAGTATCCGTTGAAGTTCTTTCAGAGAAACTGCACGCTTGTGGATTGTCTCCATTAATGAATACTTTTTTGTACAATTTGCTGTCAGAAAAACATATGAGCTTTTCTCATGGAAACTCTACAGCTTTTCGATTTAGCTACGTGGGTCTCCCCCAAGGCTCATGTTTAAGCCCCCTTTTGTACAATTTCTACGTTAGAGAAATTGATGACTGCCTTAGTGACAATTGCACGTTGAGACAACTTGCAGATGATGGCGTAGTGTCTATCACAGGGCCAAAAGAGGTTGACCTGCAAAGACCCTTACAGGATGCCTTGGACAATTTGTCTACTTGGGCTATTCAGCTAGGTATCGAATTCTCCACGGAGAAAACTGAGTTGGTCGTTTTTTCTAGGAAGCATAGCCCAGCACAACCGAAGCTCCAACTTTTGGGTAGGCCGATCACTCATTCCATGTCTTTCAAATATGTCGGGGTCTGGTTCGATTCCAAATGCACCTGGAGATCCCACATTGAGTATCTGAGACGAAAATGCCAACTAAGGATCAATTTCCTTCGATCAATTACCGGAACGTGGTGGGGAGCCCATCCACAAGATCTTCTGACGTTGTACCGGACAACGATTTTATCGGTTCTAGAATATGGTCGTTTTTGTTTCCAGTCGGCAGCTAAAACGCACATCATCAAGCTGGAACGGATCCAGTATCGTTGTCTTCGTATCGCGTTAGGATGCATGCACTCGACTCATACTATGAGTCTCGAAGTGCTGGCGGGCATGTTGCCACTATCCGTCCGTTTTTCAGAGTTATCTCTGAGGCTCCTCACCCGTTGCGAAGTAATGAACCCACTGGTGATCGAAAACTTTGAGAAGCTTCTGGAGCTAAATCCTCAAACATGTTTTATGACTTTGTACTACCTATATTTAACACAGGATGTCAGCCCTTCAAGAAATATTCCCAATCGTGTAGTCTTCTCCGATTTCGGCAATTCAGTGAATTTTGATTTATCTATGACGCAGGAAATCCGTGGAATTCCAGAGCATCATCGTCCTATGATTGCTCCGTCATTATACGCTGCAAAGTTTGGCCATGTTGATTCTGCAAGAACGTTTTTCACAGATGGATCTCTAATAGAGGAGTCCGCTGGTTTTGGTGTATTTAATGAATTTCATAGCGCCTCTCGAAAACTTGAAGCTCCTTGTTCTGTATATATGGCTGAACTGGCAGCAATTCACTACACTTTTGAAACTATTGCTTCACTTCTTCCAGACCACTATTTTATTTTTACGGATAGTCTCAGTTCTGTCGAGGCTATCCGTTCCATTAGGCTGGTAAAGCACTTCTCGTATTTTCTCTTGAAAATACGAGAACTGCTTAGTGCTTTATCCGTGCGCTCTTTCATCATCACTTTCGCGTGGGTCCCTTCGCATTGCTCAATTTTGGGCAATGAGAAGGCGGATTCACTTGCGAAGGTGGGCGCTATGGAAGGCGACATTTATGATCGACAAATCGCCTATAGTGATTTTTTTCTCTATTTATCGTCAGCAGTCGCTCGTTAGCTGGCAACATCAATGGAGTGAAGGGAGCTTGGGACGATGGCTACATTCAATTATCCCTAAGGTGTCGAAGTTTGCATGGTTCAAAGGGATGGACTTGGGTCTAGACTTCATACGCGTGATGTATCGGCTCATGTCCAATCACTATTGTCTAAACGCTCATTTGGTCTGTGTGGGGTTGGGAGACAGCAATTTCTGTGAATGTGGACAAGGTTACCAGGACGCTAATCACATCTTTTGGTCTTGTGCGGAGTATCGTGGAGTCAGATCACATTTTTATGATTCCCTTCGGGCTCGAGGTAGACAACCTAATGTTCCAGTTCGGGATATTTTGGCTACACGCGATCTGGAGTTTATGAAACTCATTTATGTTTATTTTAAGAATATTAACCTTAGATTGTAAGTTTGATTAACCTTGTGTTTAGTTTGCATTTTGTACGTGTGGGTTTTTTTGTCAATGTTTGTTTTCAAGATGAATATAAATAATTTATTTATTTAAATAAATTAAATATTTGTATCGTAAACCACATTTCAAACCTCTTTCTTCCCTTTTCCCATCCAAAAAAATGTAAATCTCCACTAACCTCGAGACAACCACGAGTACTCGGTCCAGTTCCTTTAACTTTAAATATAAGACAGTAATAATGTATAACGAAAATGATAACTCGGCTCTGTAAAGTTTATTCAACTGAGCCTGTACAAATAAAGCAATCATTAAAAAAATAGAGCAACTATTGAAATAAATTTTATGAAAGAAACGAAGATCAGTGTTTCAATTGGATTAATCATTGGATAATACCCAATCAGTTCACTGAACTGATATCGAAAAAAACAAAACAGAACATTTTCAATTTTCATCATACGTCGTCCAATTGAACCGTCCGCAGCATTGTTTATCTTGTCACACTTTTCATACCGTCACTCCGCGTGGCGATCGAGTGTGCTATGTGCGCTGCAAACAGACGTCAACAGCAACGCACGGTGGGGTTGAATTCGTGTTTTACGCAACCGTTAATTAACGACCCAACATGATGTGTTTAGTACGGAATTGCGACAAAACTAAACAAGATAGAAAATTGGTGTCAAAGAGAGAGTTGTAGAACGCATTGAGAGGCATCTTTTAGTTTGACAAAACAATACACTTTATTACGTTTTTTTTTTAAATTATAAGGGAAAACACAATTTTTAGACTCGTTTATCTCTAAAATGTGTCTAAATGCTGCTTACTTTAAATGGAAATGACACAAAATCAGTAATGTAATCCAGTAATGCCATAGAGGTAACTCAAAGACTAGAAGGTCCCGAAGAAACGTGCTCAACTTTTTGGCTCAGCTCTGGTACTCTCTTCGGTCCCAAGCTAATCGATTCACCCCTCGAAACACAGGAAAATCCAGTTACCCCTCATTATATCTGTCAAACTTTCATAGCGATTTTAGTAGTAGTTGTTTAAAATGTTCATGTTAGTAAATTGTATTGCGTAAAGCAATTTACGAAGAATATCCTGAAATATTTATCGATACATTCCGTTTAACTATAACACGCTGCGATTTAAAGTAAAAAAGAACTCAATTTTCAGTTAATAGTACTCAACCGTTATGTTTTCACCGTTGGGTAGTTATAACTTAATTTTGGAGGAAGATCATAGCAACCTGCACTGCCATCGACGCTGTCATTTGTTTGTGCTCCATCGCCTCCTTTCCTGCTCAATTAGTCCTCGCATTAGTCTTTGTTAGTGTTTGGTACATATACCGCATTAACATAAGAAACGGCTAACCACCAATTCAGGATATCATCCCAACTCTATGCGGTATGGTCGTACCATCTATGATATCGTTTGTGTATGTAATCAGTGCCAAGTACTCAACACCACTCAAAGCTTAAAGGAAATCAGGGTTGCTTCCACTCACTTGCTATAAAAAATTGTTTTGCGGAATAATGAAATCATTAGATGATGTAATGATATGTTGTACTTGCAAGTAACAAGAAGAAAGTGAAAAGTGTGTGTTTGACTCATAAAACCTGTCAATTTCGCTTTCAGAGCGTCACAATCAGCGATCTTATGATTCGTGAACGTTCACTCGGAGTGAGCGCTCACGAATCGTAAAATCGCTGTTTGTGACGCACTGAAAGCAATATTGACAGGTTTTATGTGTCAAACACATACTTCACGACCCCTTCTTTTAACCTTTAAGTACTAATAACTATTATAACATCTAATGATTTCATAATTCCGAAAAACAATTTTTTATAGCAAGTGAGTGGAAGCAACCCTGAAGGAAATAAACCAACCCACTCAAAGCTCTTCATAAAGGGATTCCGTTAAGAGGTTCGACAAATTTAAAGGATGAGTTTTCTTGTTTAACTTAATTTTACCTAGCCCCACTGAAGTCACATGTTGAGTGAAAGGAACTTAATTATGGGAACTATTTTCTTACCGTGTAGGTATAAAAAGCTTCTGATTCGTTTATCTAGATCTGTATCCGCCAACATTATGGCACATAAGACAAGCATTTTTTATAGCATTAGCTTTAGCGCAACCTACCAAACTATAATAGTGCACAGCTCTGCACGAATCTTGTGCAGAAGGAATAATTGTGCTGAGAAATTTTCTCACTTGGGAGAGAACAATTTTTAATTCGTAGAAAGAGAAGTATGTGCGAGCGAGAGTATGTGCGTAGAAAAACACGTGCATGAGCATGGTTGCCATGCTAACGAGCACGGAGCGGAAGAGAATGCCCTAAATATGGGCGGAATATGTTTTCAATTATATTGATTACAAACCATATTGTTTACACCTTTTAATAAAAGTAAATTTAGTTCAAGTGTAAAAGATTAGAAATGTACCCAGGAACCCAGCTTATAACGAAATTAAATATAATTGAGAGACGGAGTACCATGAAACTTGAGAAAACTATAAGAGAGAGAGAGAATTCGAATCATGAAAGCACCACACAATCCGCAGTGACAGTCCAAATGTCATATCGCTCGCCGATTGACGTGCCCGGGTGTGTGCGGCATTTATTATTTTCATTTGTTTTTGTTTTCGTGTGTTGTTGTTGTAATCAATTTGATTACGAAACCAGAGATATTTTTGCGCTTAAGAGTAACTATGATACAAATGTTCAACGACTAGTAGTGTGTAAGTAATTTGATTGATTTAATACGTTTAATTGAAAATGATCAATGCCTGAAATATGAAGTGTGCTTGTAGTTTAAATAAGCCGTGAGCCATAAGTGTTTGTTTATTTTCAGTGCTGTATCAGCAAACTCGTTAGCGGAAGCGTGTGTTTTTTTATGCAGCCTGGAATTCAGAGTGACGGTGTTTATATTGGTATGCATATTTACGTTATCAGCGTTAAATTTGCCTGCTATTTATTGTAAGCTTCTCTTCTTCAGGAAGGTTACTTGAATCACTCAAGTGATTCTCGTTTCTCTGTGCATTTTATCATGCCAAATGCTTATCAACCAGTGTGAACAACTCGTGCTGCTGCATCTGCTAAGCTAAAGTGACAAGATAGTCAAACATCGTAATCTTTAGCAAAGATCAACAATGATATACCAATTGATATTTATTGCTGATTACTACTTAGTTGGGTAGCGTCGTTTGCTGAGGTCGTTTGGCAGAATATGATGAATATGTGGTACGGTTGATTGAAATTTGATTGTTGTTCAGTGAGTTGACCAACATTTGATTTTTCAACCAAAGTGTGTTGTTACTTCGTACGTGAAGTTTACGAATTTCAGAGTTGGGAGGAAATGCTATAGTAGTATCAACATGAAGCTTTAGTGCTATAATGTATTAGCTAGAAAAAGTTCTGAAGAGAATAGATTGATAGTTCCGCTAGAGTACGGCAGTGTGAAAGTTAAACAGAAGTTGAAAATGAGCGAAGGGCCAACGTGGGGCTTTAGGTAGTGATAAATGTCGCTAGAACTATTCCACAGCCGCAGACAGCAAGCCAAACGCACACTCCTTTGCCTGTGAATTTTAGGACATACTTCAAATCCCCTCATCCATCAATGTATGAGTTAGGTAAAGGAGTGCGCGTTTGATTAGTATTGTCCCATCCATTAATGGCCATCCGCTCAATTTAAACTTCTGTTCAATTTCCACACTGCCGTACTCTAGCGGCGAGATGGGAGCTGACAGGTGGGCAGGAACTCACGGTCTCCCAGTGTTGGTGAGTTCTTTGCCGTTCATGTTCACGAAAAGTTCACTATTTTGCTATACAGAAATTCAAAACAAAAATTTTTATCTGCGAATTTGAACAGTTTTTGACCTGTTTCATACTACCGGAAGGTGTATGCTGGTCACAAATGCCGTGCCAAACTGACTTCCTACTCAATTAATCAATCTTTGATGTGAAATTCGCTAATAAACACGTGGCGCATTTCTTATAGCAAACATGCCATAACAAAATGGGCATGGTTCATTTTAGTAAACAAACTAACACTTCTTCCGACTGTGGCACCTATGTATTAGGCGCCGAGCTCTAGCGGAACTATTAATCTATCCGCTTCCTTCATAAACAAATAAATTATCGCACTAAACTTTCATGTTGATATAGGTATAGCATTTCCTCCCAACTCTAATTTGAATTTTGCTCAGTGAATTGTAGACTATAATTTAATTGATGAACGGAGTGAAATGGACGAATTGCAAAAGTTTATGCCATGTTAAATTAAAATTATAAGTGTTATAGAACCTACAGCGATAGCTATATTTATTTTTCATGGTAAAATAAGAATTCTAGATAAACATTTAAAAAGGTCCTATCTGCATTGATCGATTCTCTTTATCGACTTTCTCTTTCGTTAATAACTCAGCTGCACAACCTTTCCCTGTTGTATTTAACGTTTTGGACGCTAGATAAGAACCTCCTTTAACAAACTATGAGGTAACATTAACGCAAACCCTGTTTGCATAGCAGTGATTATCAAAAGAAAGTCGATGAAGAGAATCGTTCAAAGCAGATAGGACTATTTGAAATGTTCATCGAGAATTGATTTCTTTAATTAAAATCCTAATGTGGGCATACCATTCCAAAGGAAAACGTCAGGGCTTTCATTTGGAATGTTTAGAATTTTTGTGGCCATATTGAATCAGGGTGTCTACTCAATGATTTTACAGATTTTCCCTGATTTTACATTAATTAAAAAAAAAAATAGAAGGGTCTGTGCCTAGGGGCACGAACGGAAGCTTGGCGTAGGACTGCTAGTGGACGGAAGAGATGTGAAGAGCATTCAGTTCTTTTAATTGATCAATTATTTATTATCTCAGCTCTTTCCGTTTTTGAATTGTAGGCGTACCAAATTTGTAGTAATTTTTTTCAAAGAGAAAGTTGATTAAAAGAATCAATCAAAATCACTTGCAGCCCTGCTTCCAAGTTTGGTTACAAGATTACAACTCTGGAGGGCATTTTGTGGTTCTGAATATGAACCAACAAGCACAGATATATTCTATTCCAACTCTTTACTGATGTAAGCTCGATGGCCCTGAAATGGGCCGTTTTATTGAAGAGGACGTCCATGGCCACTTACGCTTGGCGTGTTTAGTGTAGGTGACAGCATCACGGACCTCATTTTCCAGGAACACCTTCAGCACACCTCGTAGATCAGACCGGAGATACGTTTGACACCACCATGGCGAGCCAGACGACCGATGGCGGTTATCTCGAAGAACTTTGCGATGACGCTTGGCGCCTCCTTAACCAAAACCTTTTCCTCCTTTGCCACGACCAGTCAATTGTTGCTTGATCCTACTGCTGCTATTGCTGTTCACCACGCCGTCCGAAGCGAAAATGAACTTATGTCTTTCTTTATGATCTTTATTTTTGTTTAACTTGGACGATTACCATATAAATTTTTACTAAGTGATTTAATTGCTTTCTTCATCTTTAGGTATGGGCAAAATTCAAAATTTGTTTTACAGAATTAGTCCTAGACTTAGTACACGGTCGACCACCTTGGTGGGATTGGTTTGTTTTGTTTTTAGAATTTGAAGAGAAACTACTTAATACTACTATTTACAGCTTAAAACTAACCTACTCTACTATATACACTTAACCTACTATGTACAAATTGCTTATTAAAGCATGTTCAGAAAGATTGCATTTTTGAATAAATTTAGTTGTCATATCATCAATTTTGGAATCTACTTTGGGAATTTCTGCCTCTTGATGGAGGTCTGCTATTCTTGTGTCGAATGGACGATCTAGGATCATCCTCAACACTCTATTCTGTGCAACCTGGATTTTGTTCCTGTGGGTCTGAGCGCACGATTCCCACACCGGGGCGGCATAGAAGATCGCGGGGGCTATGATCTGTTTGTAAACAGCCAGTTTGTTTTGCCTTGAGAGGCGGGATCTGCGGCAAATTAGCGGATACAAACACCTAACCAAGGCGGAGCACTTAACTAGGGTTTTCTCTATGTGCGAGCGGAACAGGAGCTTCTCATCGAACAACATCCCGAGATAAGTAACATCAGTGGACCACTCGACCCTTGTACCATCCATTATTACGGTACAGGAGGGAGACGGTTTAAGTTTTGGCGATTGTCTGTGAAGGAACATGATCGCTTGGGTTTTCGAGGCGTTGATTTTGATTTTCCACGTGGTGGCATAATCAGTAAAGGTGTCAAGGCATCGTTGGAGCTTGTTCGTAATTTCACGAGGCATCCTACCCTTGACGGCTATCGCGGTGTCATCTGCAAACAGAAAGAACACGCAACCGTCTCCTAGAGGAGGGATGTCCGACGTGTAGATGCTGTAAAGCAGTGGTCCCAGCAGACTCCCTTGCGGAACACCTGCTGGGATCGGAAATTGTCCCGAAAGGGAACTATTCAACGACACCCTGAACGACCTTTGCTGGAGATAGTTACGGGTGATTTTCACAAGGTATGGTGGAAAGTTGGAGTTACAAAGCTTGTATATAAGTCCGTCGTGCCAGACATTGTCAAACGCCTTTTCGACGTCTAACAAGGCCATTGCTGTGGACTTGGATACAGCTTTGTTACTCCGGATGTTATTCATCACCCGCACTAGCTGATGATTGGTGGAATGCCCCTTACGGAACCCGAACTGTTCCGGAAGAAGAATGTCATGTTCCTCCACAAACTTGTTTAGTCGGCTGAGGATCAATTTTTCGAACAGCTTGCTCAGCGCTGAGAGCAGGCTAATCGGTCTGTAGCTTGACGGTAGTGAAGGGTCTTTCCCAGGTTTGCGGATCGGGATGATTTTTGCCACCTTCCAGATGCTTGGAAAGTAGTGCAGCTCCAAGCATCTGTTGAGGATGGCAGCCAGCAGCGAGTGGACCCTCGGGCTGATATTTTTCAACGCTAGGTTGAATATTCCGTCAAACCCGGGAGCCTTCATGTTTTTACTATATTTCAGCGCTGAGCAAATTTGTTCCTCTGTAATCCGTTCTTCTGGAGGGACGGCACAAGGGGAGGTATCTAACGTCTGGACGCACTGCACAACCTGGTTCTCGAGTGGACTTGGGATTGTAGAGCCAAGCAAATGCGATTGGGCAATGTGCTCCCCAATTGCATTGGCCTTCTCTTCGTTGGTGATAAGCCGTTCGTCATTGACTCTAAGTGGTGGAATGGGCTTGGGGTGAGACTTCAGCACCTTGGCAACCTTCCAGAATGGTCTGGAACGGTCGTCCAGGTTCTGAACGAGCCGCCCGAAACTCTCGTTCCGGATTGAGACCATTCTGGAAGCGATCTGCCGATTCAGATCGACCATTTCGTATTTACGCTGCAGATCCCCAGTCCGCTGAAACTGGCGTCTACGAACATTTCTGAGCCGAATCAAGAGTTTGGTGTGGGAATCAATTGCTTGAAACTTACCCCTCACAGGAACTCGTCGAACGCACTCTTCGTCAGCCACGGATATGGCTTGATGGAGACCCTCCAGAGCCCGGTCGATGTCCTCCACTGTGTCGAGTGGTGGGTTGTCGTCGATGTGGCGGTCGACCACGCGTCGAAACTGGACCCAGTTGACTCGATGGTAGTCCTTCCGCTGGCACGGTGCAGGGGCCACGTTGTAGCCCAGCTCGGTCAGCACCGGTTGGTGGTCCGAACTCAGGTCGTTGACGGCAACCGGCTTGGCTAATCTGGTGTTTGCCAAGAACAGGTCCAGC